ATATTTAGAAAAAGTGTAAACTATAAGTTCAAAATAATACTAAATCCTTTGTTACTAAAAGAGTCAAAAGAAAGTAAAAAAGAAGCTTATATAAACAAAATATAAAAGATATTTAAAGAACAAATATACAAAGCAGTATATAACAAGTTTACTAGTAAGAAGTTAACTATTTCACAAAGAAAAATTACAAGCATGATCTAAAATATATTAAATATAGATAAGCTATTCAATTAATAATACTCTTCAAGAAAATAGAAACTTCACAGAAATATATTAAGTTACAAGCTTTTAACATAACAATCAACAAATATAATATATCGCAAAATCCTAATTATTTAATCAAAAATTATTGTATCTAATATAGTATTTTAAATACAGTTGCTTCCAAAAGTTTGAGTCCACTTACTATGTTTTTATTATAAATTTCAACTTTGATAATTTTTAAATTCTTAATTATACAATTAAAAATTATAAAATTCATACATATTATATCTTAATACTAGTTTTATTTATTATATTTTTTTCAAAAATTTTAAATATATAATTTTTAAAGTTTTGTTATTGTTAAAAATTTTTTTTCTTTATCAAATTTTTTCTTTTGGAGGATTTTAATTGACTATTATCTTAAATTATATGATAATTAATAAAAAAATAAAAATATTTAACAATAATAAAACCTTAAAATGTATTAATAAAAATTTTTTTTTAAAAATATAAGAAATAAAATAAGTATTAAAACATAATATATATAAATTTTATAATTTTTGACTATATAGTTAATGATTTAAAAATTGTTAAAGTTGAAATTTATAATAAAAATATAATAAGTAGACTCAAACTTTTGGAAACAACCATATCTAAAAATATCCAAATGGACTACAAGAAAATAAAAATGAAAAAATAAAATAAAAATTTCCAACTTTCTTCAAGAACTTATTTCTCAAGACTTTTTTTTTAATAAAAATGTTTTATTAGAATATCTTTTTTTCTTCTGATTATTTAAGAAACTTATTCATTTGTTATTTGGATTTCTTTTTTGTATACTATTTAAGAAAACTTATCATTTAGTGGAAGCCTTTACTTTCAGAACATACTTGGTTTCAATCTTCTTTAGACAGTAATTTTTTATTCACCTATGATAAATAGGTAACTTATGATAGATCTCAAGTTCTTATATAACTCAGTAAAAATTGAACCATATTATTTCAACATGATATCTTTTAGTAGCCATATTTAGTTAAAGAAATTTTACTAATAAATATCTTCCATTATCCAAAAGATCAGATTTCTTAATAATTCTTTTGTTTTGTAATAATAGGAGAGTTCAAAAGATGATAGGGATTCTCATAAATTATAATCTCTTTCAATAACTTCTAAAAAAATGTATTCTTAACTGTAATCAAAAGATTGAAACTTAATATGAACTAGAGACTGTTCAGTTTTATTGCCTGATTGGAATAAAACAGAAACCTTAGTCTTTAACTTTTCTGACTAGAATTATAAGAGAAAAAGATCTCAACTTGAAAATTAGCAGCTTTTTTATTACCTGGAAACTTGTTGCTTTTATCTTATTGATCTCATAAAACTTGATCTATAGGTTAATCCAATTGGAGAAGTAGAGTAGGAACAAAATACCAATCAACACTTTTTATCATCAATAATATTATCAGAATATATGAGGTGATTAATAGGAACTTGCTTACATTCATCTACTAATATATTTTATATTCACCAATTATATTTTGCAATAGATTGTGTTACCTAATATTCAGGATCAAACAGAGGTAGGTAAAATTCTTCATAAACCAAATTTTTTTTTGGATAATTATAAGAAAAAAATAAACAATAGAAAGACACTTTAAAAATATGGCTTAATATTCACCACCTCCCACTACACAAATTTCTATAAACATACTTTAATATGAAAGGTTTTAAGTACTATACTATTAGTTTTTCTTTCTTATAGAACTTTCTTGCCATAGGTAGAAAAGGTGTTTCTTAACTTTTCTAAGTTACAGGAAGCCAAGTTTTTATTTAAAGATGAATATAAATAAGAAAAGGAGGTTAGAAATATTTTTGAAGTAAAACTTCAAGTTGATTTAGGAATAGTGATAAGACTTTATTAAAAAAGAAATAAAAATTTTCTTATAAACATCTTTTTTGTATATAGATAAAAGATCAGTAAAAAGAGTTTATAATATAAAATTTTATTTTTATTTTTCAAAATGATAATATAAAAATTTATATTAATAAAAAAACTTAAAAGTAAAAAAATTAAAACAATATTAAGTTTTTATTTTTATCAATATAATCTTTAAATATTAATTTAATAAGAAATTTTTAAAAATTTTTAAAAATAGAATTCAATAATATAAAATATATATATAACTCTTTTTGTTAATTCTCTGATTACATATAAAAAAGATATTTGCAAGAAATTTTTTTACTTCTTTATTAATAAAGTCTTAACATTTTCTATAAAATAATTTGAAGTCTAATTCAAAAGCCATCTCTATCCTTTTTCTATTGTTTACAAATCTCTTTATCCAAAAGTTTGACTTTTAATAATTAAGAATAGTCAAGTAATACCTTTGATATAAATAACAAGAAAGTTCTCAAAAAAAAAGAAGAATTGACTGTAAAGTATTTGAAAACCCTTCTAAACTTTGAAGCAAAAAGTTTACAAAGGTTTTATTACAGTTAAAAAGCTTACTTTCTCACTTTTAAACTATTCTAGTTCTCTTAAAGCTTCCATTTTCATGATTTTTTAGAAATTTTATCTATCTTAATTTGATCTTGAATTTTTGATAGTACAAATTCTCACTAAAGGTGATTGAATAATATGAAATATATTAGTTTCTGAAATGTAAACAAGTTCTTATTGATCATATTTATGTATTCTGATAATTTTATTAATGATTGAAAAGAATGTTTCAAAAATGATTATTCCCAGGAAGCTCAAGTTTCTTAATGAAAACTTCTATGATATCAAAAGATCCAGTGATGGATAATGTAAATTGCAATTTCTCTTTTTTACATAAGTTCCTTAGATAATGATAAAGTTTTAATGAAAAAAGCTAAGGTCAAAATGATTTCCTTGAAATATCTTAATCAGATGCTTACTTAAATAAAAGATCAATTAAATTAACTCATCCAATGCCATTAGTTGTGAAAAGGAAAATTTTTTTTGAGGTTCAAATGAAACAAGAAGACTATTCTAATTATATAGATTCTTTTTAAAAAGAATTTGTTTTTTTTTTTTGGATTTTTTTAATAGATCTTGAATTGTCTTCTTCTTTCAAATCGATTTTCCCCTTTTTCTTTTTAACTTAATAATTCTTTGGTTTTCAAGTCAATCAACAGTAACAAACTATTGGCAATGATTTTGATAGATAGAGATCATTATCAATCTATTGAATGAGTATAATATTGTTCTTAAAATCTGACTTAAAATATTTATGAATAAAGACAAGTTATTACTTTATAAAAGTTCATAAACCATTATAAATTTTGTTTTAATTTCTCAATAAAAACAAGTTATTATAACATAATTGTAGGTTAAAAAAAAAAATAAATAAATAAATTTTTTATAAACTATAGATCAATTAAAATAGTTTTTAAAAAAATTAAATTAAATTAGAATCAATTATTTTATATAGATTTGTTAATAATAGTATATAAATAATAGTTTTAGTAAATAATAAATCTATTTAAATATCAATATTCTATATTATAAAACCAAATAAAAAATTTTCTATATAAAATTATAGTATAATATTATTATTAACAAAATTGTAAATATTTTATTTTTTTTATTATATAATAAAAAATTTATTTAATATATAGTATATTATATAGTATATATAATTAGCATTTTCTTAAACTTTAATTGATTTTATAATAAGAATTTCTGAAGTGTTGATTAAAAAAAAACCTTATTAATATAATATATTATTACAATTTTGAGGCAATAACATATATGATATAAAAAAAAATAAAGTTTTTATTTTTAACTATATATTATAACTTAAAAAGTTAAAAAAAACTGAATTTAATAAGTATTTAGATAAAAATAATCAATCAAGAAAAATTAATAAAAATTTTTTAAAGACATTAAGATAATATATCCATAAGGATACTTCTTTATCAACAAAAAATTTTATAATCAAACTAATAAAATAATATATACAAGTATCATATTATATTATTAAAAAACATTTAAAAAAGATCAAATATATAAAAAGTTCTATAAGCTATTCCTATACTTATCAAAAAACAAAAACAAAATTAAATATTGTAAACATAAAATTATCTTAAGAATATATAAGAATAAATATTTTTTTCTAATAAAACAATATTTGAATTTTATCAAATATTAATATAAGAGTACATAACTAATTTTTTATATACCTAAAAGCCAGACAAAGATCCTTGCTTGAAAAGGATTTTGTATTAAAAAAAAAATAAATCTATTTCTTTTCAATAGATTATAAATGCAAATTTTTATATATAAATTTTAAATAAATATATTTCAGAGATCAAAAGAATACTTGATAATGAGTGACACTTTTAACAAGATAATGACCCAAAACACATAAGTTACTTGGTGAAGACCTTTATTGTGAAAAATATGTCAGATGTTGTAGACTGACTATCTAATAGTTCTGACTTGAATCCAATTAAAAATTTATGGCGTATAGTTAAGGGAAATGTGAAAAAAAGTGTGCCAAAAAATCTAGATTATTTAGAACAGTATATGGATGAAGAATGAAGAAAAATAAAAAAATCTGTTCTAATTGGATCGGTTTAGTCGATGAGGAGAAGTTGTGAGCTGATTATATCGCTTATTAAATTTTATCAGTCAAACTTTAATATTCGAAGTTTCACGTAATCCCATGTGACCGTCGTAGCGCAATAAAAATTCCAATTTTTTTTGATCATCACTGTATGTTGAAATTTATTCTCCTAATTAATAAACAAGGTCAAACGCGGTTTTCTAGGTATTACACCGAAACTCACATAAATGCAGAGGAAAAAGTTTTACTGGAGGCCGAGATTGCGCGAAAATGTTTGAAACGTGGGGATAATCAGGTGTGCAAAGATCATTTTAGCTACTTTCACCAGGTTCTTATTTAATAATATGTATTTTCAGTGTTCCATTTGTGACTATAAACAATATAAGTTGGGTAAGACTTAAGCGTGATAAGATTCAACCTAAACTTATGTGAAATATGCTGTTAACTGTACAAATTTGCGTCTTTAGCCTATAGAAGATATGCATCATTGTTTTTTGTGATAGGTTTCGATGAAGAGGAGGTTGATACTCAAATTATTTATAAATAAGTCGATTTGTGATAGTAATTTTACTGAAAGAATCGCGAATTCGTTTCCCATTAATTAAATGCAGAATCAATTTTCAATGCTAGAATTGGTTCAAGCGTGTGTTGGTAAGTCACCCCTTATTTATGTGTCAAGTTTGAATAAGATTTCTAACTTTATTATTACAATAGAAGTATTGAATTCCTATTTTGATAATGTGGTATGTATAGGTTAATTTAGCGAAATGATTCGGTTCATTGTTCTTATTTTTTTTATTATTTTCAGTGTGAACTGGATATTATGTATAATATTGAAAAGGTGCACGTTATTCTTGAGGAGATGGTATTGAATGGTCGCATAGTAGAGACCAACAAAAACAATGTTCTTGCTCCAATTATAGAAATGAATAAGGCTAAATAAGCTTATGTTATTTTGTACTTTTTTTTTTGTTATTAAAATATACTCGAAACAGGTATTAGTGAAATTACAAATTAACCATACTATATATTAATTTACAGTTATATTATTTATTTTGAAAACTTTAAATATTTAAATATAATAAGTCTAAAATAAAACATTGAAACCAATTTTTTATTCTATAAATTTTTAATATTATAATTAATAAATTAGTATTAATTAGAAAGCTAAATTATAAAAGAAAAAAAAAATTTTTTTTTTTAAAAATAAAATAAAAATAGTGTTTTCAGTTGTTTTAATTCATATATTACATTTTATTCAAATATATAAGTCAATAGTATAATAGTAATGTTCTCAGATTATTAAATATTGTTTTCAAATTCAATATTATTATAAGGCAATACTATTTAAAAGCTAGATAACACAAAAATATCTTATCTAATCTATAATAAAGATCTAATTATCTTTGATCAAGATTTTATTTAATTATAAAAAACCAAAAAAATTAAAAGATTTTTTAATCAGTTTTAATATCAAAAGTTATCTTTTTATATAATAAATTCTTATAAACTTCAATAAATAAGTAGAATATTTGCATATTAAAAAATAAGAATCTAATAATATTTAAATATATTAATTAAAAAAATATTACTATTAAATTAATACTTATTTAAAATTCTATACAATTATTTTATAAATAAATTATAAAACATTATATAAAAAAATAATTTAATTAAATAAAACAATATTTAAAACTTTATAATTCAGCATTAAAAAACTCTTTTCATTGATCTTTTGATCACATATAAAAAAAATATTCACAAAAATTTTTTATACTTCTTTGTTAATAAAGTCTTAATATTTTCTTTAAAACAACTTGAAGTATGACTTCAAAAGTCACTTCTATCCTTTTTCCTTTTGTTTAGAAACCTCTTCACTCAAAAACTTGACTTCTAGTGATTAAGAAAAATCAAGTAATACCTTTGATACTAATAGTAAAAAAGTTTCCAAAGGAAGAAGAACTGACTGTGAAGTACCTGAAGATCTATTTAACCTTTAAAACAAGAGATATATAGAGATTTTTGATAACAAAAAGGCTTATTTTTCCCTTCCAGTTACTTGTGGATCTTTTCGAGTTATTGCTTTTATAGTTTTCTGGAAAATTTTGCCTACCTCAGTTTGATTCTAAAT